AAAAAAAAAGTCAGTTTTCTTGGAACACTGATATTTGAGTCAATTCTACTAAATTTTTCATTTTCTGAGTATAAAAACATTACTAGGAAAATGATATTTAGGCTTTTGTTGTCTGGGTACATAGTATGAGAATTTTCCTTGATACTAGTAAACATTCTACAAGATATATTTTTATAATTTAAGAATGAATCATCCTGAAGGGATATATTTATCCTAAATGATATCAATGGTAGGCTAATATAACCCAGTAATTAAGTCTTGTGTTAGAAAATAGTGTCATCACTTGTAATTAAAGTTACTAATTAGAAAAATAATCAAATTTGAGACAGAGAATGAGAAAGAGAGGGAGGAGTGTTAGAAGGAGGGGAAAAAAGAAGGAAAAGAGGGAGAGATGAAGGGTGAGAAGAAAAACTCTAATAAGTTGAGTTTGGGAAAACCGTGACTCATAGAGCAAAGACAAGACATTAAAACACGGGAGCTTCATTCTGCAAGATAGTAGAATGCTATGAAGTTTGCCTGGGCATAGAGTGTACCTGGAGCCTCAAGGACAATACCAGGCTTTTGCTGGTGGCCCAGAGAATAAGCAGAAAGCAAAGTCTATGGGACTGCTGAAGCAAATATAGGAAGCTTTATGTATTAGTGAAATTTCTGTTGCTTGCACAACTACTCAAGAAAAACAAATTAGAGCAGGAAAATTTATTTTGATTCACAGATTCAGTGATTTCAGGATATACTTGTCTGATTCCATTACTTTGGGCCTGTGTCTGATTCCATTACTTTGGGCCTGAGGCAAGACAGAACATTATGGTGGTAACGTAAGGTAAAGGCTAGGAAGAAGAGAAAAGCAAGTAAGGAGTTAGGGACTAGTTACTCCCCCAAGGGCATGCATGTCTCTAATGACTTAACTCCTCCAATTAGGCCCCACCTTCTGCAGTTTTCACCACCTCCAAAAAAAGACACCAAATTACAAATCACTCAAAGGACTAAGCCACTGAGATCCCTTATGATCCAATCACTTATCAAAATCCCTATATCTGAATATTGCTGCATTGGGGAATAAGCCTGCAACACACGAGTCTTTGAGGGACACTTCATATCCAAACCACAATACCATAGGACATAAAAAACCATAACTCATAACTAAACCCAAGCTTGCTTATGAAGGATGGTTTTCCTTTCATTTTATGAGGGAGCCTCCCCAACATCTTGGGGAGGTCAGCCAACCTTATCTGCCCAACTCATTACAGAATCTCAAAAGGTGATGCCAAGTCTTACCAAAAAATGGGAAATCAGTGATAATAGAAAATAAGGATCTTATTAAAGTCCTGTGCTTCTCAATGCTGCTATTGGGAGCAATAGAAGCATAGCAATCTCAGTCTCACACTTAGTTATTGCCAGTTCAGACAAAGACAAAGACAACCATGACTTAAAACTGAGACACTATCCACAGATTATTCCTTCTTTGACAAACATGTGAGCCCATGTTCCTACTTGCTGCCTCCACCCACATATGACACATTTCATGAGTCCATTTGCAATCACCCTCTGTAACTGTTTGTTCTGCATCTGTGGATTCAACCAATCACAGATCAGAATTATTTGGAAAAATATTCTATCTATAATGCACATGTTTTTTTTCTTGGTATTTGCCCCCAACAATTCATATGTCACTAGTTACAAATCATTTACACTCTATTGCATTTTATAAGTAACAGAGATTATTTAAAGTATATGAGAATTGGAGATGTGTTCAGTTTGTAGGCTAATATTGTATCATTTATCTAAAAGACATGAGCATATGTGTATTTTGGTATCAAAGAAATGTCCTGGTATCAATTCCCCATGAATAGCAAAGGACAACTCTTTTACTTAGTCTGGCCACTTCTTCTCTTCAAATCATTTGTTATGGGTGATAGAGCAATCTTTGCACAGTATAATCTGACCATATCTTTCCTGTTAAAACTCTGCTGTGATTTCCCTTCTGCTTATTGCAAAGTGAAGAATTCATAGTGTTAGCTGCAAGCTCCCATGTGATCTGGTATTCATTGACCTTCTAAGGTCACTATTCTTTTTTTTATTGGTTCTTTTAAGTTATACATAACAATGGGATCCATTATGATAAAATTATAAAAGCACGGAATATAATTTGTTCTAGTTGAGTCCCCAGTACTTCCATTTTCCCTCCCCTCCTCCCACCCACTGTTCGATCCCCCTATTTTACTGATTTTTTCTGCTATCTATCTAGTTATACTTTTTTAAAAAAATAGTGTCTTGTGGATGTACATGATGGCAAGATTCACTGTGGCATATATGTACATAGAAAAGTTAGGTCAGATTCATTCCACTGATTTTCCCTATCTCATTTCACTTCCCTTCCCTTCATTTCCTTTTTTACACTTCACTTATCTTTCTTCTATTCCTTTTTCATCCCTTCCCCTTATTTTGGATTAGCTTCCACATATCAGAGAAAACATTCCACCTTTGACATTTTGGGATTGGCTTTATAGAGCAATATTCAGTAGAACTTTCTGCAATGATAATGATACTCTATATCTGTATCTTAGGTGTCCAATATAGTAGCCCATGACTGAATTTAATTAGACTTAAACAGAATTAAAAATTTAGTCCCTTAGTTGCTTCAACTAGCCACATTTCAAGCACTCAATAATTACATGTGGGTAGAGGCTACTCTATTAGATAGTACCTATATAGAGTTTTCCTATCAAGGCAGAAAATTATGCTGGACAATGTAGGTCCAAACAGATTAGCCTTTCTTCAATTCCTCAAATAAAATTCTTCTCATCTGAAAGGTTATGTCTCTCCTTTTGGCTAGTTGTATCCTATTCATTTCTGAGGAAGCATTAAAGTGCATAGCAGGTAAGATTACTGTGTATTACCTCTCATTTATAGTACTTTTAGAAAATATAGTTAAGTATTTTTTATTGGTTCTTTCTAACTAGATTATAATCTTTGCTATGGCAGAGACTATGTCTGTACTCCCATTTCTAGTACATTATCTAACAGTGAGTACTCATTGAAGGCTTATTAAGTAAAAAGCTGGATCCAGTAATCCATGCCAGTAACCCCAGCTACTTGGAGACTGAAGCAGGAGAATCACAAGTTCAAGAAAAACTTAGGCAGACTCTATACCAAAAATCTTACTTAGCAAAATAATAAATAAATAAATAAGTAAATGAGTAAAGGAAATATGACTCTCTGGGATAGATAATATTTCCATTAAGTAAATGCTTAACTAAAAGAGTCAGGAAAACATTAGTTTTGTAAGCATTTAATATTTATTCAGCATTACATATTTTGTCTTAGAAGTTGTGATGGACTCCCACGAAGCTCATACGTTAGGCAACGTAACAGTGTTTACAGGTGGAAAGATTAGACTATGAGAGGTACAATCTCATATGATGGATTAATAATTTGGGTGTCACTATCAGGTGGTAACCATAAGAATGTAGGATATGGCTAGAGGAAGTAGGTCTTTGTAGGTGTGCCCTTGGGGCCATCTCTTTTCTCTGGTTCCTCATGTGCTCCTGGCGCTAGTTGGTTTTCTCTCTCTCTCTCTCTCTCTCTCTCTCTCTCTCTCTCTCTCTC